CACTGTGGCCTTGCGTGTCCCCCCCCCCCCCCCCCAAGTGTTCGGCTACTTCCAGAGGCACAGACGGCTTAGACAAACAGTAAGATCAACTGGGAGGACCCAGAACTGATTACAAAGACATGGTGGTCATGGGAGATTTCAGTTACCCAGATATCTGTTGGAAGTCCAACTCTGCTACAAATGAAAGGTCCAATAAGTTCCTGACTTGTCTTGCTGACAACTTCATTCTCCAGAAAGTGGAGAGGGAAACAAGGGGATCTGCTGTCTTGGACTTGATTCTTACTAACAGGGAAGAACTGGTTGATGGGGTGAAAGTAGTGGGCACCCTCGGTAGTTTTGTTGTTGCTGTTGTTGTTGTTCAGTCGCACAGTCAAGTCCAACTCTTTACAACTCCATGGACCACAGTGACCATGGAACTTTAGAATTTACAGTCATGGGGAAGGTAAAAGCTATATGTAGTCAGACATATAAGTTGGACTTCAGGAAAGCAAATTTTGACAAACTTAAAGTTATGCTGGGTAGAATCCCATGGTCAGAAATACTTAAGGATAAGGGAGTTCAAGAGGGATGGGAGTTTCTTAAAAGTGAAATACTGAAGGCACATTCACAAACGTTTCCTATGAGAAGGAAAAATGGGAGGAGCCTAAAGAAGCCAAGGTGGCTCCATAAACAGCTTTCTAATGACTTGAGAAATAAAAAAAGACTCATTCAGAAAGTGGAAGGAGGGCCTCATAAGCAAGGATGAATATAAACAAATAACCAGTGCTTGTCGAGAGAGAGTTAGGAAAGCTAAAACTCACTATGAACTTAGGCTAGCAAGAGACGCTAAAAAACAACAAAAAAGGGTTCTTTTCTTATGTTCAGAGTAAGAAAAACAGCAAGGACATGGCAGGCCCATTGCGGGGACAGGAAAGTGAAATTGTAACAGGTGATGAAGAGAGGGAAGAACTGCTCAATTCCGACTTTCCCTCAGTCTTCTCTTGTGAGGGAAATGGTGCTCAATATGGCAAAAACAGAACACATGATGAGGGAAGGGAGCTGCAGCCTGGGATCAGAATAAGGATAGTACATAAACACCTAGTTTCTTTAAATGATACTAAGTCCTCAGGGCCAGATGAACTGCATCCAAGGGTACTAAAAGAACTCATGGATGTAATTTCTGAGCCTTTGTCCATTCTTTTTGAAAATTCTTGGAGAATAGGTGAGGTGCCAGAAGACTGGAGGCGGGCAAATGTTGTCCCCAAGAAGGGGAAAATGGAGGATCCAGGTAACTACCTAACCATCAGCTTGACGTCTATACCTGGGAACGTTTCAGAACAAATAATCAAACAGACGGTTCTTGAGCATTCCAGGACACACGGGTTTCTCAAAAACAAGTCATGTCAGACTAACCTCATCTCTTTTTTGAGAAAGTTGCAACCTTGCTGGATCAGGGGAACGCTGTAGACATAGTTTATCTTGATTTCAGTAAGGCTTTTGATAAGGTTCCACATAATATTCTTGTTGACAAATTGGAAAAATGTGGTCAGATCCTATGACTGTTAGGTGGATCTGGGTGCTTTCGGGAAAGGGAAAGTGAAAGAGGAAATAGAGAGGGGGAAGTGGAATGCCTCCCACAATTCCTTGTGGGTTCCCACTCGTCTTTTTCTAATATTATTTTTCTTAGTGCCAAGGGCCATGCTATTTGAATGCCGTGCCTCAGGCATTACAGTATATTGAGCATCCAGCCAGGAAGTTCACTAGGTGACTTTGGCTGCTCTGTACTGAGTCAGATCACCAATCCCCTCAGCTCAACTATGTCTACTAAGATGGAGAGCCACTCTCCTGGGTCTCAGGCAGAGGAAGGTCTTTTCCAACGTCTGCTACTTGAGAGATGCCCAGCACTTAACGTGGGACCTTCAGCAAGCAAGGAGGAGCATGTCACTACTCATCTATGATCCCTTATTAAACAGTAAGCACGTTATCCAGTTCATGGTCCCACCAAGAACAAAAGAAGCAGAGCAAACAGAAGCGAGTAGTACCACCAAGGACCTTACTTTGAGCGTGCTGTTCTTCACAGTCAGCTGTTGCTCCAGCTGGGATATCTGGCTGGTGGAGTTTTCCCGGAGCTTGGTGAGGCTGCCTTGCAGTCTCTGCACATCTTCGACGAGCTGAGCAATTTCGCGTTCTTTCGTGGCCAGCTCAACCTCCAGGCTGGATCGCGTCAGCACCTCAATGGCCTGCTCCTTATGGAAGAGGGGGGGGGGGAGAGAAGTCACACCCTGGGCCCAATGAAATGTCACAGGTTACCTGTGGCAGGTTTCAAAATTAAGGTAAATGGCAAAAGGGTTAAAAAAGCAAGGTAGTGTATACAACTCAGGAGAAAAAGCTAGCCCTAAGTTCACTGGGTATCCACGTACGGTACCTATATGATTGCCAGTGTGCAGTATGTCCAATCTAGATGACATCATATTATGGTGGACCTGAAGCCACAGAGGGGAGAAAAGATATACCAGCTTCCTTCAAAAAACTAGGGGCGCCATGATAGGGGAGCAAGTGTAACTAACCCAGGGCTATTTTGGGGCAGGAACGCACAGGAACGGAGTTCCGGCTGGCTCCTGAGTTGGCCACGCCCAGCAGGAACTCATTAGCCAGTTTGGTGTAGTGGTTAAGAGCCAGTGTAGTGGTGTAGTGGTTAAGAGCCAGTTTGGTGTAGTGGTTAAGTGTGCGGACTCTAATCTGGGAGAACTGGGTTTGATTCCCCACTCCTCCACTTGCACCTGCTGATGTGACCTTGGGTAAGTCACAAGCTCTGGCACAGCTGTTCCTGAAAGAGCAGTTTGTGTCAGAGTTCTCTCAGCCCCACCCACCTCACAGGGTGTCTGTTGTGGGGAGGGGAAGGGAAAGGAGTTTGTAAGCCACTCTGAGACTCCAAGTGAAGGGCGGGGTATAAATCCAATCACCATCATCACCATCACCATCACCATCACCATCACCACCTCCTCCTCCTCCTCCTCCTCCTCCTCCTTCTTCTTCTTCACATAACAGCAGAACCTAACAGCAGAAACTCATTAGTACTGGCTTCATTAGGGTGTGTGTGGCCTAACAGGCAAAGAAGTTCCTGCTACAAAAAAAGCCCAGGGTTTTGACAACAAAGTAAACAGAATAAGAAGCAAAAGGTGGGTGTGGCCGGACGACCACACTTCTGGTAACATGGGGGTGTGGGCTAATAGGCTAATAAGCTGCGATGTCAGGGGTGTGGCCTAATATGCTACCGTGTTTCTGCTGTTGGGTGTGGCCTATTATGCTAATGAGTTCCTGCTGGGCTTTTTCTACAAAAAAAGCCCTGAACTAACCAACTGTAGACGGCCACTACAGCACTGTACAGTTGGTTAGACTGTTGGACGAGAATCTGGGAGACTCAGGTTTGAACCTCCTCTCTGCCAAGGAAGCTGAGTGACTTTGGCCAGTCCCTCTCGCTCTGCCTAACCTATCCTACCCCGTGCGGGTGGTGGCTGTGAGGATAAAACGGAGGAGGGGAGAAAAATGTTGGAAACAACTTTGGATTCCCATTGGGGAGAAGAGGAGGCTATAATTATCTAAACAGAAAGGGAAAGTTGGCTGATGGCTCTGCGCTGACAACCAGAAGGTAGAAAGAGGAGGACGAAATTCCACTTTGTTATGGGCCTGACGACAGCAACAGAACCTCTTGCGTTGACGGTTTTATGTGATATGGATGATCATAGCGCAATGATGAATGGTGTCTGTAGCAGCAACGTCAGTTCTTTTTAAGTATTTCTGGGTGTTGACTTATGATCTGAACATCTTGATGGATATCCATGTGGTGGGACTAAGTATTTGTAAAAACATGCCTCTGGACAACTGTGGGGGTGGGCGGGAAATATTTCTAACTATTAAGCCCTTGGACAAGGAGGCATTTGGACCTTTTCCGTCTCTGCTAATGAACCACACTTTCCCCAGAAGAACTCAGAGCCATCAGCCTCCAAAGTCCAAATGGCAATTCCCCACGTAAAGCTGATGCTTCCAAAGTGGGCATTGGGAATGATCCCCAACAGATCATTCCATACCCAGGTAAAAACGCTACTCGAATCACCCATGTGGATTTGTAAGAGGAGGGGCTGTGCAGCACTGGCAGGAAGCGGGGGGGGGGTTGAGCAGATTCTCACATATTGTTTCAAAACAACCCAAGTTTTTGGCTGTTGGTCCCGAAGTGAATAAATTACTTGTATAACAGCAGAGGCCTTGTGAAACAGGCTGAAGGGAGCTACCAAGTAATGACAACTTGGAATCCTCGAAAGGGTGCTATTTCAGAGGGACATGGTAGGCCACACACATCAAGGGGACGTTAATGATGCTCTGGGAGGAAACGAGGAGGAGGAGGAGGAGAAGAAGGTGATATTGGATTTATACCCTGCCCTTCACTCAAGAGTCTCAGAGAGGCTTACAATCTCCTTTCCTTTCCCCTCCCCACAACAGACACCCTGTGAGGTAGGTGGGGCTGAGAGAGAACAGCTCTGAAAAAACTTGTGACTGACCCAAAGTCACACCAGCAGCTGCATGTGGAGGAGTAGAGAATCAAACCTGGTTCTCCCAGATTAGAGTCCTCACTCTTTACCACCACACCAAACTACATCACACTGGCTGAAGCGGCTTCCCCTCCTGGCAGCCTCACTACTGGAGGCACTTGATGGTCATGGCCTGACAGATGGCCTCAATCCATGTAGCTCTCCTTTCTCGAAGTTGCTCTGCCATTCAAGTGATCTTTCTTCGTTGCTCTCCAGGCACAAACAGCCAGGGCTCCCTAACGCCCAGACCCAAAGAAGCCAGCCATACTGCTAATGCATGAAAACATGAAGCTACCTTATGCTGAATCAGACCCTTGGTCCATCAATGTCAGTACTGTCTACTCAGACTGGCGGCAGGTCTCCAGGGTCTCAAGCAGAGGTTTTTCACATCACCTACTGCCAGATCCTGGAGATACTGAGGACTGAACGTAGGACCTTCTGCATGCCAAGTGGATGCTCTGCCACTGAGCCACAGCCCCTCCCATCGAGACAGAATCTCGGTTGATACACAGGGCTGGGAGGAGCCAGAAGGTGACTTTGTTCGATTCCGCGTAAGCCAGCAAAACCTTCTTGATGTTAAATTTTACCAGCCAGCCATTCCAACCCCCAAAGATGCCCTGGCCCATTCGAGAATGCCCACAGCCAGAGGTCATTTTGGGGGGGAACGTGGGGGAACGCAGTTCCCCCGGGGTGAGGTGCATGGGGGCGGGGCACATGACGAAGCCCCGCCCCCTGCTTCTGGCCGCCCTGCTTCCGGCCCTCATTCAGCCAGGAGGAGGCAGGAGAAGAGGGAGGGTAAGTTGCTTCCTCCCCGCCTCTCCCCACCCTTGCCTGCCTGGGGCCAGGGAGGGCCTTAGCGGGGCTTCCTCGCACTCCCGCTGGCCTTGCAGGTCCACCGCAGGGCCCCTGATGTCAGGGGGTGTGGCATATGCTAATGAGTTATGCTAATGAGTTCCCCTAGCTCTTTTTCTATGAAATGACCCCTGCCCACAGCCATGTGGAAGGAGGGGACCTCCTCAGGGATATTTCAGGACGTTTTGTTGAATTTTCAGCTCTCTCTCTAAAAAAATATTTATAGAGATACAAAGGGGAAGAAAGTGTGTAGACAGCATTCTACATAACTGCTCAGCAAGAATGAGCCCAGTGCATGGCTTCCAATGCCAGTGCTTTGCGGGAAACAACAGCTGCGCAACAGTCGCAAGGTCGAGGGACTATTTTTTTAATTATGATTTTTTTAAAAAATGGGCAGACACACGATTTCTAGGCCCGATTCTGAGTAAATCCCCACAACCAATGTCCCCTCTAAGCTGTGGGGTCTTATGAGCAAAAACTCTACTTTGCGAGCTACTGGCATTAAAGTGGTGAGCGAGCGATTTGGCTACTGCGTAAGTTAGTTTGCTCTGGCGGCCTCCTTCCTGAGCGAAGACAAAAATGTGTGAGCTGGAGGCTAAACAACCGTGAGCTAGCTCACACTAACTCAGCTTAGAGGGAACATTGCCCACAACTGTAGAAAGCGGAGAACGGACAGTGAGGGAGTGGCACCCCCGCCATCTGCCCATGGGGATGCTGTGGGTGAGCAGTAAGCCCAGGGGTGTCTGTACTGGGCTTTGTACTGGGCAAGACAAGGCTGAAGGGAGGAGGAGGAGGAGGCACATTTGCTCCACGTGAGATTTCGTCTCCTAGGGATCCCCCAGGGATCCAGGCAGGCACATAAAAGCCCGTTCCCCCTCCCCATTAACGTCCCACTCTATGCTGGAAACCAACAGCACAAGAGGAGGTCAATTCCCAGGAAAACATGAGCCTGGCGGGAGATCGTGACATTTGTTCCGCACGGGAGCCGGGCTGTGGGCCCCAGCGGAAGCGGGCTCCCCCCCCCTTACCACATCCGGTGCCTTCTGGATCTGGGTTGCCAGCTGGAGCGATTTGTTCGCGGAGGAGAGCTGCTCCCGCAAGGATTCGGCCTCTCTCTGAGCTACCTCTGCCCTCTGGAAGACGCAAAAAGGGTATTTGGGGGGAGGGGGGGAGAGAATGTACATTTGATTTAACAACTGGCAATTATTGCAAGAACATTCATCAATTCATGCCCGACTGAGTATAATTGATTTTCCTAAACACTCAACCTAATAAACGATAGGGTGGTGGTGGTGGGGGGAAATTCCTCAGAATGTGATGGATTTTTATTTTAAACAGTACAAGGAAGAAATAATTGAGCGATTATGACAGTAATTTAACGCTAGGAGCAAGGAATCCCCTGCTGACACAAATGCTGCAGCCCACTGAATTTCCCAGGCTGGAGGAAAGCAAGTGGAAATGGAAGCCTTTGATTCAATTGCCTCCCGTGCTTCCCAGCCAAAGCAAGGCGGCCGTGCACACTTCCTCGTGGGAGTAATTCTCACGAGTAAATACTGAATTAAGAGATACTCTGCCCATTTGGCCTGAAACAAGCACAATCGGGGGGCGGGAGTGGGCTGATCCCTCTGCTCCGTAACGATTTCTCTCGCACAATACAGAATGAAGTCAGGGCCCACCATGCGCATTCATGTTTTAATCGACAGAAAATTACCAAGGAGATTAAAATGCTGGTAAGACTAAAAACACATTTTCTGAAGGGGGGGGGGGAGAGACACAGTTTGTTTGTAAAATGAGACAGGCTTGTCTGTTGTTTGAAGACAGTCCCTCCAATTGGAGAGAGGAAAGAAGGATGCCTAGTCTAAAGAGGCACCTGGAGGGGGTGGAACTTGAATTGAAAGCCTCTCCTGCCTGACTAACCAGGCTCACCTCTGATCATCAATTTTTTCACTGGCGACTCTAATTGGTTCATTGTTGCAGCTCTAATGCAAATATAGGTATCAGGTTCAAACTACGAGTGACGGTAGCCGCAGGACTATCCTGTGGCTGCCAACGCCATTGTTCTTTAAAAATTGGCCCGAGGCCCCAGTCCAGGTTAGGTGTTTGGCGGCCACAGGAGCTCTTGTTCCCTCCTTCTGCACTCTGGGGTCCGCCGCACGCCCAATCCATATTGGGGCTTTGCAGAAATTTTGAATGAACTGCAAATGTAACGGGAAGTTCTTCGCTTTCTTGCTGTCCAAGTGGGGCTTCCCTCAAGTGTTTCTCTTAGAACCACTGCTATTTAACAACTCATTTTAATGGTCAGCATGTGCTCATCGCCTATTTTGAAAGCTTTGCAGCGCAGCTATCTACATCCCACTGACAAAGTGTGCCCCAGGCCTTCATACAACGGCACCCGCCATGGTCCGCCCCCCGACAGCCTGCTGTGGTATCCTTCTGGGGTACCAGTGGAAAGAGTCAATAGATGGGACATTTGCCTTGGGGAATTACAGAGATGTTCATATTACACAGGCTCGCTTAATACACCACAGAAAGCCCTTCTGTCCAGCAAGGAGAACAGCAACATTTCATTTTACTGCTTAATGCAACTGCAAGGAGGGAGGAAAGGGACAGGGTAGGTGGAGAGAATCTTTCAAACCAGGGGTGTCAAACATACAGCCTGTGGGCCAGAGCCGGCCCATCCAGAGCTCTTATCTGGCCCGTGAGCAACTGGTCATTACCTTTATTGCCAGATGATAAAGGCTGTGCATTATGTCCCCATATACTGCCCCAGTGCAAATGGGTAACGGGCCGTGGAAGTGGGAGGGTGGGCATCAGGGAGAGACTTTGAGGAAATACTGTAAGAGTGTCAATGTTTTAAGCATGTTTGTATTTTGAGTGAAAAATAATATTGTTAATTGGGTTTGCCCATGTCCTTTATAGAGCCAGCATGGTGTAGTAGTTAAGAGCGGCGGACTCTAATCACTCCTCCATATGAAGCCAGGTGGGTGACCTTGGGCCAGTCACAGTTCCCTCAGAACTCTCTCAGCCCCACCTGCCTCACAGGGTGTCTGTTGTGGGGAGAGGACGGAAAGGAGATTGTAAGCCACTCCGAGACTCCTTCAGGTAGTGAAGGGCGGGGTATAACCCCCCTCCATCTCTTATAAAGTTTATATCTCCGGTATCTGGCATTACATATTATGGCACACATTATGTCAGATCCGACCCTCATAACAAATGAGTTTGACATCTCTGTTTTAAACAATCTGCTTGGATTTTTCTCAAAACTTCTAAGGCATTGAGAGAACGTTACATCTTTCAGAACAACAGAGCGACCGCACTGAGTTGAGACCCATTTCTTCCCAATGACCGTAAAAATGCAGGACAATTATTCTGAACTCTTCAAAGAAAAAACAGTTATCAAGTTCAATCAATGCAACAGAATTCTTCTTCTTCTTCTTCTTCTTCTTCTTCTTATTATTATTATTATTATTATTAATAAGATATCTTATTAATATTAAGATATCTGGAGCAGATGGGTAGGGTCATATGGGAGAAGGAGGTCAATACCACCACTTTGAATTAAGCCTGGGAGCAAAACGGGGGCCACTACAGATGCAACGAGACTGCAGCGACAGGGTCCCTATGGTCCACTCCAGTCAACATTCTGGCTGCAGCATTCTGTACCAACTGTCGCTTTTGGACAGACTTCAAGGGCGGCCCCATGCAGACCTCCTTGCAGTAATCTAAATCAGATGTCAGTAGGCCATTCATCACAGTCAGTAGGCCATTCATCACAGTGACAAGATCATTCCAGTCAGGAGCACTATCAAACTATGCTGACCCAGGAATTGGGGAATCCCCTGTTCTGGATGGGAGTACAGCCAAATCAAGTGTCCTCCTACAATGGGGACAGCTATTTCCCAACAGGTGCTCCCCACAAACACAAAGGTAACGCCACCTAAGCTCTTCTGAAACATCTTGCACTCCAATGAGGTGAAGGAAAGCCAGGATTGGCTCGTTGCTTTCGGGAAGAAGGAAGTGAACATCAGGAAACACAGTGGCGAGTGCCGTGACGCTCATGCATATCATGTTGCGGATCACTGCGTTAAGTGAAAGCTGGCAGTGACGTTAAACCCTAGGGCAAAGAGGACTTCCCTCTTAATCAGCACATGAACCCAGGATCCAAAAGTCACAGTTAAGGATGTATATGAAAAAACAACTCTCATCAGCTCTCCTCCCTAGTTATGTGCTTGTTTTATTTAACTGTGTGCGTGTGAGGGTCTGTGTATATACATATCTGTATTTTAAATGCTGTTTTAATGTTCAGAAGGTTTTTATGTTCGCTGCCCTTAAGTTGGGTGGAAAGGCAGCATAGAAATGTTTTAAATAATTAAATAAACCCTGTCGACAGGGCCCCCCCACTGATTAACTGTGACCATGGAATAACCATTAACTGTGGTTAAACAATCAGAAATATTAGCATCATGCCCTAAGCTGAGAAAACTGAGTGTCACTGAAGTAATGAGACATGATATTGCAGCTAAAAACTGACAGTAAAAGCCTTGGCCCACCTGGTAGCATAACATTCCATGGCTTCAAGGCTGCTCTTACGATCTGACATCTAAAATCCTACCTGATTTGCTCTTTCAAGGTCCGTCATGATCATCTCAATTTCGTCAGCCCTGGGAGGAAACAGAAAGACAGTCTATTAGTCTGCGATTGAGTTGAAAGGGCAGCTGACTGCAGAACGTTTTATGTACAAAGGTTGGGTGTCTCTCATGCAATGCTACTCCATATATGTTTACACTATATATATA